CCTAATATTATTAAAAAACAATAACTAAAATTATTTTTCATATATTTTGTTGTATAAAATAACCTTTGTGAAATTTTTCAAGCTGTACTGGCAACTCTATAAAAAAGTTATTAAATTTTTGAAATTTATTTGAATATTGAAATTGACTACTTTCAACTATAAACTTATTCATTCGTATTGATGGCCGGAATAAGCTTAAAATTCATGAGTGTTGCCCACTTGTAGCCATAAAAACTAAAAAAGTTTAAAAAATGTTTTTTGTACGCTCAACTACAAGCAAAATAAACGATAAAAAATCCACTCAATCGCAGCCATCAATAACAACAGTGAACGTTATTAACATGAGAAGTAGCAAAATAATCCATCTCCTTCACAATTTCGTACCCGAACGAATAAAAACATAAAAGACATCCTCGAAAAGTATAGCGTTTCTTTTATAGCATAAAAATCAAAGCGGTAATCCTTTTCCACTTTTTCAAGAGCTTATCAGGAATTGCGAATGGGACTCCCCTTTTTTAGTTTCATGGAAACTGAATATGCATACGAAAGTGACGAGATGACGATGAGATACAAAACAATAAAATAGCATTTTTTCATATGAAATTTTAAGGATATTTTTTCACAGATCACATTTCAAAATCTTTACTAACGACAATGACAATATTAGCAATATTAGATATTAATGATTTTATATACGAAAATATGCATTAGCAATAATAAAGCGATTAAATTGATGAATACTTCTTATAAATGGTGGTTGTTAAAATCAGTTTTATTGAATTAAAAAAAAATATATTATAAACACTTTTGCTCTGGTAATTTTTAGTGCTGACTTTGACCTGCAGGATACTCTCCATATAGAAGTTAAATAAGTGCGCATCTAGTGACAAATGAGACCAGTGGTTGGCGTATATTATGTTGACAATGTGAAATCTTCTTGCAAAATTGATTCTCTCTCACTTATATTTTTGGATATGCACTGTTTTAAAGTATACCGACATCATAAATTTTTATAATGCCTACTGCTTCTGCGGGAAAGAGGTTAGAATATCTGTCATAAGAGGCGACTAAATTCCAGTAGATGTTACTCGATGCACTTTGGAGTGTAATTGGTGAGCTTCACTTGCAGCACCCGACTGGTACCATAGGGCGCAGGGCATACAGCTTCGGCTGTCTTGACCAATTGAGGTTGCTCCCTTTAATGAGAGTGTTGAGGTGGTTGAAGTTAAAATCCAAAGCTACGCGGATAGAATGACAGTATTCTTTAGTATTCGCTGTGGAGTTGCATTTTCCAAACGTTTGCTGTACTTCAAATAACAACAAAAGTATTAGATGGCAGAATCTTGCCGGCAAAATTATACTGCCAGTACTATTCCTTACTATAATAACTAAACTATCTCGATACTATAGTTCCTTAGAATATTGATACGTGTAATAAGAGCACCGTGATGTTAATCCAGCGTGATAGTTAATCACGTTAAAAGCTATAGACTCTGTTAAAGAAGTGAGAGTGTCATAGGGAGATTTAAAACGGTTTTTACGAATCTTCTGGAAAGGGGAGACGAAAGAATTTATTGTTAAAATCTTCTGCTTAACAGTTAGTGGAAAAAATGGTATCACTACTGATACCAAAACTGCAATCAAGCTTTTCTGTAGATATGCTACCCGGCGACATTTTTCTATTTATCAACCTTAAAACTGCACTTAACAATAGATGCGATAAAGAGAAAATCAATATGGTATGATATGATCAGGTTGAATTCTATATTAAAAGAAGAAATGTATTCCAATAATGTTTCTCAAACTGTAAACTACTGTCACATAAATACATAGTATTAAAGGGGGACTATTTAGAATGGGATGGAAAAAATACTTAATTGATATATAGATATACCTATAGAGATACATATAGAGATTTTATGAAGTTAGAAGATTAAAAAAATTTGTGATGGAAAAATAAAAAACTCAAGTTACTTTTTGTTGACTTCTAGTTAGTTAGTTGTAGTAAAGGAAAGACCGAATCCTCCTCAATTAGCTAAGAAAGCCGTTTTGAATCCTAAAGTTACTGGCTTTTTGTCTATTCTCTCAATATTTTAACATAAAATAAGTAATTATATTTTATTTATACAGAAAAAATTTCATTATTGTTGTAAGTCAATTATATTTATAAGAATTCCAGATATTATTTGTGTTGGAGTTAATTAATAATTAAGTTTTAGAGCACGTTAATATCTCCAATGTATTCCTTAATTGTGTTAAAAATAAAAAAAATTTAATATTTCTCCACTGATTTTAATTATTCGTTTTCTCTTTGGGTCATTTTCATAATATTTTATTAAAATTTTTCCATGTAAATTATTAACAAAATTTCTTTTGCAACTATTTTGCTGCTCCTAATTTGGAATAGGGTTTTCCTTCCTTGTACTATATTATTTGCAATATTTCATTTATACACATTTTTCTTTGGATTTCACTGAAGGATGGTATTAGCGGGAGGAGAGTAGAAAATATTGAATTTCCGACCACGTAATCAACTCACAATTTTGTTTCTTACTGGCGGAATGAAAATGACAGAAAATATTTTCTTGTAATAGGAAAAACGTTAATATTAATAGTAACAGCAGTAGCAACAACAATAACAACAACAACAACAACAACAACAACATCAATTGAACAAATAGCAACAAATGCAGAGACAACAACAATATTGTCAATAATGACGTTTCATGTTGCAAATAATAAAATTGATAATTTAAAGAAAAAAATAATAAAAAATAATAAAAAATAAAAAATAGACGTAAAATGAAATGACAAAGTAATATTGTCATAAGGATGCCAAGATACCAGGGAAAAGGAGTTAAGGCAAAATTGGAAAAATAAAATCCTTCAAATTCAATTCAAGATATGCATTTCATATTTTATTTTCTTAAAAGGATTTTTAAAATTATATATCAGAATATAATAAAATGTCATAAATTCATTCTATGTATAAACAGATTTACTCAAGTCAAAGTTAAGCTTAACGAGTAAAGCTCATTTAGATCCTGTCAATTTTCAGGACAATCTATTTATTAAAGGCTTATGGTTTTAATAATAATATTTTCTCTATCAAATTGAGTTCTTTTTGGACAATTAAAGGTTTATATTGTTAGTTGTGGAAAAAATGTGATTGCTTGGTTAGTTGCAGTGATTGGTCAGCAGATACTTTTCGACTTTCCATGTTTGGTGAATATATTCAGTTTTAAAACCCCCGTTTGTCGCAAGATTCTCAAATGAATAAGACTAAAGTCATTCAGATTATGTAGTTTAAATATTGTTATTTACTTAAAGATGTATAGTTCAACTATTCCTTGTGGACCTCCACAATCTATTCCTTGTGGGGGTCAAAGCTCAGCAATCGTACAGAAAATGCATTATTTCTTTTTAGCCTCTTTTTCAAAAGTTCTTTAATAATATTCAGATGCAAGGTATAGTTTCTCTTCATGGTACTTTACAAAGACTTGTTCTTTATGGTAGTCAACACTGAGTAATCACAAAAAAATCTTTACAATCTTTCTTTTTAGTCTACGTTTCCACAGCTTCTGCAAAGGCTGTTAAAAGAAACGTGCAGCTTTTTTGTAAGATACTTTCGTAAGGACCTGTTCACTTGGTGACAATCCAAAGAAAAGCGATATTGGTTTGTTCTTCACATAATTTTTCACAATTTTTACAAAGGAATGCATAATTTCTTGCATGAGGTCTTAACATCAATGGCCTTAAATAACCATAAATAAATATCACTATTTATAAGTTGCCTGTTAATTAGTTCCAAATATTTTATCATGGAACCCATTATCATGTTGACCGGCATGATACACGTGTCAGGAATAATTTCCAACTATTATTAGTTAGCTGAAAAAACTAGAAAAAAGTAACTAGCTCTTAACGTTTTCTGGTAAGGCTTGGTGACACTAACAGAAGCACCAAGGAAGACTATGGTAAATGATTTTTGAGTCTATTCAATGAAAAATTCAATATTCCTATGACTGGGAACCGAGATCAGCGTGTTATTATTTATTTAGTTTATTTAGTTGTAGCCTGGTAGTTCCGCTCTTCAATCTCTGACTAGTTTTGATTTAATGATGATAGAGTGAACAGCTTCAATTACCGCTTGACTGACAATAAAAATACACCCATGATTAATGCGGTTTGCAATTAACCGACACGCTTTATTAACCACCTCAAAAACTCCATCGTTATAAGGCAGCTGATGAGAACGATTTATGCATGAAAATAACGAAAATACTTCTACCCTTAGCCCATACTCGCCATCCTTGGAAATAAAAATATCTAAATTTGTTGTGAAGTTTGTTTTTTTCGATGAAACACAAATGTTTGACTCCGAAAGGTCAATGAATGAAGGATTTAGAATCAGATTCAATATATATGTCGAGCCCAATGATATCCTGTGATCCCAATATGAACTTTTTTTAAATTCTGCTAAGTTTTTAGCTATTATAGCTCTTGTCCAGAACTGGCTACCAAACTACTGCACCGTATTTAAGACCATCTTATGAATTCCTGTGATGCCAATATGAGCTTTCCCTAAGTTCTGCTGAGTTTTTGATAATTATAGTTCTATTTTTGAACTGAACTTTCCTTAAATGCTGCTGAGTTTTTGTCAGGCCACTAAACTATTGAATCGTGTGTGAGTAGATGACATAATAATGGAAAAATATTTAAGAATAGTTATTTGAGTAACCTTGCCAGGTAACGTCTGAGATGGTTATGACTTATTTGTCTAAAGAAGATGTTAGAATCGTTCTCTTAGTATTAGTATTTTATCATAAACTTTAACATACATTTCGTTGTTAAGCTAAAAATATAATACTGAAAAGAATCTTAAACCTAATTTAATTGAATTGAATCGCATACTAAAAAAATAACAGAAACTTTAAAGGCTCTTTAAAAACTTCATGCTCTGGATATATAAACCATTACAATTAAAAATTACAACAGAATATATTAGAAAACTATACTTTTATTTAAAATTCTCAATGAAAGTAATTTCAAACTAAACTTAGGCTCTCCAGTTGGCCCAAGTTTTGATTTCATTGTACAAGTTAGTACCAGGACATTCAGTAGAACCGACTTGACGATGACCGTACAAAATGTAGCTAGATGAAATTTGGCCCTTAGAAACGGCATAAGACAACAAGCTCTTAGCGGCAGAAATTTGAGCAGCAGTTGGTTTGTTATCTATAAGATTCATTAAAGGGAAAAATGCATGAATAAATGATATATCCCATTACTTGTCTATAATTGAAAAAATAAAAAATACTTACTGTTGTAGTTGCCCATGAATGAGATCCCAATACTCTTTGAGTTCCAGTTAGTGGCATGAGCACCAAGTACATTCCAACCACGACCTTCATAAATGTTGCCATCACCACCGATCAAGAAGTTATAGCCAATATCAGCCCAACCCAAAGTGTTCATGTGGTAGTTTTGCATAGATTTCAAGTTGGTGATGCAAGCAGACTTGGTAGTGCAGTAGACGTCAGCGGTGTGATGGATAACAGCATAGGCCAAACCATTTGCTAAGTTGGATTTGCTAGTTGCAGCTCTGCCACCCCATTCCGATTTAGAAATGATGGTAATACCACAAACGGCTTGTGCACAGAAGAGCACAGCCAAGAGACCCACTAGAGTTTTGTAAGACACCATTGTTTCTTTTTTTAGAACCGTTGAACAGTTTGATTTCTTTTCATCCACAACGCTACTATTTATATCCGAATTTTGTGCTGAAAGTTCTTATCACATGGGTTGCTTATCAAGCATAAGACATGGCTAGTACTTAATTATATTTTATAGCATCACTTTAGAGTTAATTCTGCAATAAAACAAAATTGACTTTTTAAAAATTTTGATTTTCGTAATCGAAAGTGGGTAATTTTGGATTTTACGATTGTTTTTGTTTTAGTGTCGATGAAAGTGATAATATGAATTAACTGACCACAGTTGTTATAAATTTGTTAATGATAAATTATTATCAGATTAAATTAATTTATTACTGTAAATATTTATTTCAAGTTTTTATGGTGTGATCTCTTTATCTATGACGAACTACTATATTGATAAGCCAGTGAGGAATGCGTCGTTCGGAAATACGGTGAAGTGTAAATTTTGAATGAATCTTACGTTACTACTTATTAGCGCTATTTAATTTGTGTAAATAATAAATATTATTTATTTTTAAGTGATAATTTTGCACCCTTTACACATACGTAAAAATGATTTAATAATTTTATTAAATTTTTGTGACGCTATGCGGGAGAAAAAAATATTCTACTATGGGGAGAATATAATGCTCTATGTAAACTATACACAAAATTTCTTTGTATGCCTACCAGATAGTAAGTAAGTCTGACTGCTTACTGGTCTGACTGTCATGTTCTCTACCGATCCGGTTATTCGACTTTCTGCTAGTCTGTATAAATTCAAACAAGTATTTACTTTTCGAGGAAACTACGAGTATATCATAATCCACAAGTTAACTTCTAAAATTGAATTATTGAATTTTATGTAATAATATATAATATTTTCATGACGCATCCGAGGGATGGTATATTTTTTGATAATATAATCTACGTAGTATAGCAGAAATGTATATTATATTTCCCTCCTTGGCCAAATTCTAGCTAAAATATGTACATAACAATGTTTGTTAAAACTGCAACTATTAAATATTTTTATAAAGAAATTTTAAATCAATTTCAATGTAAAAAAATATTGAATAAAGAGTTTGCATCAAATTTTGTTTTTCGAACGAAATTTCGTGTGCAGAATCTTTGCGAATGCTACAAAAGGCTTATGGGGAATCAGTTTTATCGAAAACTCAAGTTTATGAGTGGTACAAAGCCTTTCAGGACGTCGTACGACCGTCGAAGACATGCCGCGTTCTGGACGACCTTCGACCTCTACCTCCGACGAAAACATTGAAAAGGCAAAGGAAATCGTGTTCAAAATCCTCATGTGAGTGTTAGAGAGATAGCACGAGAGCTAGGCATCGGTCGTGAGATGGCTCGTTTGATTTTGGTGGACAATTTGTGTATGCGACGTGTCAACGCTCGGCTTGTTCCGATTCACCTCAATTTGTTCAACATTATCAACGATTTTAAGGCCAAACATTCAATAAATACCATCGAACAGCCACCGTATTCACCTGATCTTGCACCGTGTGACTTTTTCCTGTTTCCCAAACTCAAATTACCCCTCAGAGGAACGCGTTTTGAATCCATAGAAGACGTAAAACAGAATTCGCAGAGGGAACTCAAAGCCATACCGGAAAGCGCCTATAAAAAATGTTTTGATGATTGGAAGAAACGTTGGCATTTGTGTATCGCTTCTAATGGAGCATATTTTGAAGGAGATAAAATAAATATTGATGAAGATTAAGAATTTTGCGTTTTATTTAAAATTTTCCGGAAACTTTTCGGTCACAATGTATATCTATTGACATTTATGTAATAATATATTATAGTTTTCATGACGCATCCAGAGGTGATTAGGGTATGTATTCTACCTTTGATAATATAATCTACTGCTAATCTATACTGCTAAGAAAATGTATATTATATTCGCCTCCTTGGCCAAATCCTAGCTAAAATATGTTTGTTAAAACTACAACTATTAAATATTTTTATGAAGAAATTTTAAATCAATTTTAAGTTAAATGATAGATTAAATTTGATTACCTGCCATTAAGCACCAATAAGTGTCATTTTTGGAATTCACAGAAACTCCTCCGATAACATTTGAAGCTATATGTCATTATTTAAGTTATTGGCTATTGAAGCACCCCGACCTAAAAGATCTATTGTGCTCCTAACGGCCCAACTATGACAATTTTAGACTATTTATAAATCTTGTAATCTGCTCTAATTTTTTTATCAACTGTTGCGATTCATCAGTTTTTGATCATTACAAACGTACCGTGGGTTATTAAAATATTTTAGACAGTCCCTAATTGTTGCAGTCCCAAAGTTTTGCATCATAAGACTATATCGACCTTAAAAATTAGTTAGTGATTTTAATATTATTATAGGGGACAGTTTTTATCTTCATACGATGAGCCAAAATTTAAAAGAGTCAAAATTCATTGCGACTATTGATCTTACAACACTTTCATAAATAAAAGGGAGCAAACAACTAAAGAACTTTGGATAGTGAAAATAATTGCTTGTTGAGAGAGGATTTTGTAATATTTGATCACAGATTTATTCCATTACAACTTTTTGATTTTGTAACATATTATACGGGATTATTATACTATACTAGTGTGTATAAGTATAGACAGTCAAACTAATCTCAACGGGCTTTCTTAGCCTGTAACCATCAAAGCAGTGTATGGTTCCGTTTAACGGGAATAAGTTGAAGATGAACTCTAACAATATGAGAATAGCGGAATTGCAAAATGTTAGAGAGAACCAGTTAATAGACTGAGATTAAAACAAATTATCAATAGCCTAAATTACTGAGAGGAATGAAATATGAATGTAGTATTAACATTGTCTTTCTATGTTTCGACCTGTAAATATAAAAGTGCAGTTGCACGTTTCTTACCTCCGGAACTTAGTTTAATAACATAACATGCTGTGCTAATCTCGTTTAATAATCATAGTGACTATTGATTTACTGGTATATTTGTAAAATTGCTAATACTTTAGTATTAGCTATCGGTAAAAACTCCAATCATTGATTATCATCTACTATAATTTTTAAACTAGACATTGTGACTCAATTTGTGATTCCATTTCTACAACTTAAAATATATCTTGGCTTTAAAATATATTAAAATTTTATCTATAATAATTATTTATGATTTTTGGCAAACATTGAAATAAATAATCAAAAAAAGCCTCTTTTAAAGTGAAAGTAATAAATAATAAAATTAAAATTTTTGTATTTAAAAAAAAATGGCTCGTGTTAAATAACTGCCCACCTCGATAAAACAACTTTCGATTATTTGTCACATAATGATATTTTTTAATATAAACAAAAAAAAATAATTTTCATTATTCTGATTAACTTTTAGGTTACTTATACGGGAAGGCGAAGGATTTTAATCCCTTTTTACTCTAATTACTTAATCATGTAAGATGTTTTTAAAAAAAAGATAAAGGATTTTATATTATTAAAAAAAGATACTATTTAATCGAAAAAGTCAAATATTGTAATTTCTTCTTCTTCTTTATTGGTCGATCAAACTCCATTTAGTATCTTAAGCACTTTTACTATATTGTGTTTGTGATCATTTAGATGATCAACTGTAATAAGAGTTCGGTTGAATTCTGACAATAAGTTTCTTGAGATAATTTATTAGAAGTATATTTTAAAGCTCAGCATATCTTCCTTACGGAATATATAGTGCATTTAATTTACGAGAGTGAAATTCCACAGAACCTTACATTTTCAGCGCTCTGTCTTTGATACTCTTTGACATTCTCGGCTCTTAAGTCTGATGTACCATGGAGTTTGTTTTTATTGATAGTATTACAAATAGACCAGTAGTCAATTACAAATAGGTCATGCCTATTATCTTGATTTATCTACATAGACCAATGACTTTGTATACTTCCAAAAAAAATGCTCTGCCAGTAGTTAATTACAAATAGATTATGCCACAGCTGACTATAATATAGTCAGCAGATATTTGATATCATAGCTCTTCCGTTTTTCTAATAATATAACAGGCATTATAGTTTCATTAAAACAAAAAAATTGCTTAGAGCATCTTTACGCATACATGAAAAGCATTGCTTCAATGGCTCTGTACTTCATTGTTTTGAAGGAGTGGGGAGGAATGGCGTTCCGCCAGCACTTGGGGACATTGAACTTGGTATATGCTAGCGCAAACCCTGTTGTCCTTAATCCAAATTGTAACAGAGCCCTGAGTCATCCAATGGGTAATTATCTAATAGTATGTACAGCGATAGTACATATAGCAATGTGTCTGATTACATTGAACTTGGAAAATGCCACTACAATCCTTTTCGTCCTCAATCCAAGTTGTAACAAAACTTATATCTAATAGTAGGTAGTTTTAAGTTTGAGTTGTGCACAGGATTTAGTAACCGTCACGTAATATCAGCCATCAGTAAAGAAAGTTCTACAACCCAATGATGCTAGCAGTTTATAAACAACACTATATAGTGCATTGTTTAAGTGACTAATAGATCTTCTTTAGATCTATTCTACGACAAAGGTGGAAATTTTTTTTACTAAAAAAGGTACTAAAACAAGATCCAGCTACAGTACCTCTTCGTGTTTCTCTCCGTAAATATTTCTTAATGAACATTTATTTTAAATACAAACATAATTAAAATTTTTATAAACCTTATATAGAAGCAATTTTTTGCATGAGTACTGTTATATTGAAGAAAGTATCTAGTAAAAGGAAGATGCCTAATAAAGTCCAATTAATTTAGCTATATTTCTGTAAAAAATTGGTCTTTAATTTGACCGGCGAAATTCGTTTTGTCATATTTGGTTTATTTTTTAGCCAATTATTTAGCCAAACATTACTTGAGTGTGATAGTATAGTTCAGATGGAACCACATATGATCTTTTAAAAATTATGGTAACTTAAAGAAGGATGTAAAAATCATTTTATTTAAGCATGAGTTAATACCATCGTCCAAATTAGATTTGGCTTCATGTCATTATTTTAAAACTAAAGGTATTTTGTACGAGTACATAAAAACCATTT